GAAAATCTACACATTTCTCATTTCTGTCTACCGTTTCCGCTGCTGTCTATAGACAGCTTACAGTTCGATGAGCATTTTTATGCTGCGTTTGATTCATAATGTTTCTTTTTTGGAGAAAATCTAAGATATGTTTTTGAAATGTGAAAAGGATGATGATAACCCTTCAAATGATGGTCTTGGGGCAGTCAAATGATCAAGCCTCCCGCGTAATCGTAAATGTTAATATCTCAAATTTAGAGAAACAATGCCTTATCGTGTTGTGGTTTATATTTGTCTGGAACATTTGTCATAAAATTTTCATCTAGCCTATATCTTGTTATTCGGGTAATTTGAATATAGTATTGACTTGATCAACTGTAATAGTAAGCATTAATTATGCAAGGAATTTAAACGTTATTTTATATTAAATGTTTTTTTATTTCATACGTGTTTGTGCCTCGTTTTTACTTTATTGTTATTCTGTTTTGGCAGGTGAGTTGGCCCCCACAAATCTAGTGCCTCTGATCCGTGACGGTGAGTTTGTTTCGTTAATAAAATAAAATAACTGCATTCTTTGATATGTGTGTAAACATATATTTAATATTAAAAAGAGATGAATGTTTTTCAAGAGGTCTCAATTTTTTCACTTGTTTTTTAACATGGCATTACTATTATAAGTTATGTTGCATCAAGTCTTAATTTGATAATGTAACGCATAGTCGACTAAGTGAAGTAACTCGGGCGGGTTTGAAGGGAGGGTCGAGATGAAGGCGGGTCGATGTTTCCCGGGACGGGTAAAACTTGGAATAAAATTATTGTTTCGAACGTGTATTTTGTCTATAATTTGTCTGTAATTGTATGTCTGTAATTTAAGAAGAGAAGCCTCCGATGACCACACTGGTAATAGTGACGAGAGAAACAAAATATCCCGTTCAGTACAATATCTCAGAGAAGAGAGGTAGGAACGTCCTGCTCACATACATATTTTCGTCTTTTGTATTTTATTTCCAAATATAGTATTTGCTTCGAAGTTTGATGAAAAATCATAACGTTTAGTTGATAGCTTGAGAAAATTACTTTAATCAATTAAAATACGTTAGATCCAAAGTTTGCAAAAACGGTGGAAACTCTCTGAGGAGGAACTCCCAGTGTTTCCTCCTCTCGTGTAGTTATCGCGAATATCTCAGTGCGCCATGGAGGTCAGAAGTGAAAACGTTTTTGAATGGAGCCAGCCCGGGAGGAGGAGCTTCTTCCTTCAAGTAACAGAATCTCTTTGACTGAGCCAGAACGAGTAGCTACATGTATTGTGCTTTTTGCCAATGAATATGTGGTGAGAGATCCCATACAAAGAAGTTACACGTGGGCCTCACGTGTAAAGTCTTTGTATGGGAACTCTCACCACATGTTCATTGGCAAAAAGCAATCTTCTTCAATTCCCCCTTCTTTCCCTAAATGTTTCTCCCTGAATGAGCTAGTTCGTATTATAGAGGAGTTACACTAAGAAAGGACCACAGGTCGTCTTTCTCCCTTCCTCATTTGAGAACTGCACTGAACAGGATATTTTGTTTCTATCGTCACTATTACTATTGTGGTTAAGGGAGGCTTCTTCTAAAGTTACAGATCCCCATACACGATCGGGTCATTCAACAATTTTCCCAGCAATAATCCCAGGAGATTTGACATTGTAAGAGGTAGAGATGAAGACATTAACAAGTGAGTTAACTGTAAACGACCGCCCCGACAAAATGAGTGCATGGACGTAACTTGCAGTTACATTGCCAGCAGTGGCCTAGGAGTACCTGTCAAAGCGGTTCCTTCTTATAGTAACCTCTCTATAAGGAAAACCGAGGTGCCTTCCGCGCCACCGCTCGCTTCCGCGGAACACTATCTGGGAATGCGTGCACTCGGATGGAAGTCTTCCTGGCAGTTCCTCGCCGAGGCTTCAGGGTTGACACGCGTGGGGGCGTTCACCGCGCGTCATGCGGGTCTTTGTCAGTGTTCATCCATGCGTTCGGCTGCTCAAACCGTTACCCCGCCTCGGGACGGCGCCGGTAACGCCACACAAACTTACCACACTCGCGCCGCGCGCTAATGGGGCGTAATGAGGCCTCTTGCGTAACGCTCTCGTGAAATGAACTGTCAAAACAACTGTTAATGTTGTGGTGGTGCCACAAGTGTTTCGTGGAGTTTGCAAACAGATATTTGTTTTGAACAATCATATAATAGTATCAAATTTGTAATTATATTTCAATTTCGCATGTATAATTTTATTTTGCGGCTGTTGTAGAAGTTTCGGAGTGTATGTGTGAATTCTTTTTTTAGGATGGGTTTAGGTTTTCTTGTGTTTCTGCATCTAAAGTTCAAGTTGTTATTGATAACTTCTATTGGAGGAGAGGTAAACCATTGTATGTTCTTAGTTTTCAATGTTCTGTAATAATATTTTAGAGCTAAAGTATCAATGAGCATAGTATGGCGCATAGCATTTTTGACTTTATCCAAGTCGGACACCTTTGACTTCTTTTGAGTAGTGCACGTCTGAACATGTACGAACTGGCCGTATTTATTTTGACACTGCACATATTTTCCTACTAGAGCAATGGGTGATATATTTAAAATAAAAAAAAATAAAAAAAAAGAACTCGTAAACTAATGTGATCACTATTTTCAAATATATTTATTCACAAATAATATTGTATTTCATTCTGTTGTAATGTCAAAATAACCAGGCCCCGATTGAATGTGAAAACAGAGTATCAACGAGACGTATGCCATATGGATATTTGAACTAGCTTTTTATAGTGCTGCAGTATTCTTACGTCAACGGTTGTATTTGGCCGTTTACAGGATTTATCCCTAAGTAAGTGTGAATACTTCGAGAAAGATCAGTTTGGTGTGTATTCACAATTGTATAGGAGTCGCGATTCATCCATGAAAGATCTGCAAGGATGCTTAACTTTTCATTATAATTGTTTTATTTTTAAAGAAAATAATTTACTCTTTTAGGAATAATCCCTGTTACACGAAAAGAAATGTATGCAGCCGGACTAATGTAATGTTCATTATAAAAAAGAATGTTTTCCTTTTTTGTTGCTCTGGCAGCCTGTTTTAACCTTGACCCATATTTTCGGTAACATGCTCTTAAGACGTCTACAAAATTTATGATGCAATTTGCTGTGCTACCTGGGTAGTCTGACTTGTCGAGATAACACTCCAAAAAAGAAGAGATAAAATGTGAAGATTTTGGCTAAAAAATTAAATGTTATTAATTTTCGTTGTTGCTGCAGATACGCCTTTTAAGATAAGAACACTACCTATTACTAATTATGAATACTAGGGAATAGTCTTCAATTCCTCTACGATCTAATTCCTTCCTCGTAAGTTCTACTTGTTTTTTTTATTTTTTCCTCTCTTCTTTTCTTCTTACAAACTCATTTCTAGTAGAAATCGTTTTTTTTTTCGGTTTATTCCGTGCCGTGGTTGATAAACATCCGGATATTTTCTAATATTTTCATAAACATCAACCTAATATTACGTGACTTGTGGGGGCGTTACATAAGAGTACGTATTATTTCACCCAATCTGAATTGAATTCAAACGCTGATAAGTTTGTAGGAGTATTTGTATGAATGCATTTTTGAAGCGATCAGAATTTTGTGTAATATTAACTAGGATAATTTTTAGTGACTTTCGACGATTCGAAAAGAAAGGATAGTTTTTCCTTGATTTCTGTATCAACGAGTTGCTGAATGAACACTTGAAGCCAGCAGGAATGTGACTTGTCAACCAAACCGTACACGTTCCACGTACTTCCTGTCTCGCGCCGGTTCAGCAAAATATGTATTGTCTCCTTACTTGCTGGTGCACAATCTTGCCTGGAAGAAAAGTGTTTCGTTTTGCATGATAGGAATCCTTTTATTTTTTCGTGATAGACATGTTTTGCTACGAATATAGTGTTATGAACGTTGAGATATGTATTAGTTATGATCACTGGCATGAACTAATGACATACTGTGTCCTGAGGAAAGTATTAAATGTTTTGATAATAAATAAAAATAAATATTATTTTAAATTTATTACATTAAATATTTTTAACATATAATGTGCGTCAGAAATATGACTGATTAAATATCTTCTCGTCAATGATTTATAGCTGTGCAGCTGGAAGTAAAAATGAGACAAGTGACATTCCGAACTAAATATAGTTAAATCCTGAATCTATTTCTAAAGAGTGTTAAACTCTAGAAAAAATGCAGAAAGGGAAATGCACTATGTCATCCGTAATGTTTCACTTTTACATCGTTCGCTTCAAGAACTTCAACATGCGCTCTCATTTCTCGTACCCTTAATTTACGTTACTTTTCATTACCACAGCATCAGTTCATGAACTTTATAATTCTGGTTAAAGTCGTTAGCCTTGATTCGCTAACGGAATAGAAGACTTTAGGTGACCCATTTATTCTCGTTCGTTTGCAAACTACTGCAACTACTGAATCTACTGAACTACTGAAAGAGAATACTTGTACATTATAGAGTTCACATACTAATCATTTAGAAATTAGATTTGAACGCAGTGGCCTAGATATTAATGATTTTATAGAAATATCGATGTGTTGAAGCCGATCACGGTATGAAGAAAGAAAAAAAAAGAATTAATAACTGATGTGTTCGGTCCAAACGAGCGCTGTTTGTACTACTTTCATAGAAAATACTATATTTATCGCCAGAGTGACCCCAACGCCGTGGGATTTCCAATATCTTTTCACGTATTTCGCACATGAAAAGGCGTTTTGAACTTCGTTATCACATAAATGTCGATTATAAATAAACAAATTAATATTAACAAATTAACCACTGACAATTTTATGACGCAAGAATTTCATGTTGGGGGTTCAGAGCTTTAAAGCATCAATGTTTAAATTTTTAATATCGATGTTTTAATTTTGATCACCGATGTTTTGTTATCGATATCGCATCACTTGCTTAAAGGGGGCTGGTCCCATAAGGGTCTCCCGGGCACTCACCAGCTCGATAATCTTGAGCGCGAAGTAGGCGCGCGTGGCGACGGGCGACGCCTGCGCGCCCTCGCCGGCGACCGCCGCCCCCGCCCCCGCCGCCGTCCCCGCCGTCATCCTGTAGGTGTAGCTCTTCCGTCGCAGCTGCAGCGAGTCGACGCTGGCGGAGACGCGGCGTTCGCCCACTAGCGGGCGGGCGGCGCCGCGCATGGCTGCGCCACTGGCGGCGTCGCCGTCGCGCCCTCGGCCCTGGCCATCGCGCCCCGCCCCCTCGCGCCCGCCGCCTTATCGAGTAGCCCGCACGCCAGGCGAGAGTGCTGACCGCTGTTCGGGAAGGGGTGAGGGAGGCAGAGGTGGTGAAAGTGGTGGCGGATGGGCGCGAGAGCTTAGCGATGTGTGTCGTCACCAAGCTCGGCAGAAGGAGGAGTGGAATGGATGATAGGTCCGCGGGTGAGTCTGAAGTCAGCTCTCCAATGCATGAGCGAACGAGAGAGTTTGGGCGAATGAGTGAGCTAGTGTTCTGGTGGGTTACCGGGTGAGGTGACCTGGCAAGTGAGAGGCTGGATTGAGAAAAGAGGGTGAGAGGATGAGCATGGGGGCGGGCGAGTGACCTGGCGTTGTGGGTACTGGAGTAGGTAGTGTAGAATAGCGGCTGGTTGGTTTAGTAGGTGCGTCAGCGCTCACGGGCGCCACACGGTCGAGTGAATGGGCTGGCGGGGGAGCGAGCGCGGGAGATGGCGTGTGGCTGCGCTCCGATTGGTGCTACTCGGACCTCGGCATCGGTGGAGTGCACGTGCAGCCCTGCAACCGGGGGCGGGGCGGGCCGTGCGGCGGTGCCTCATGCGCCGGGCGTCACTGTGGCGTCGGCGGTGGGGCACGCGCGCTCTCGCGGGCCGCTTCCTATTGACTGAAGGGGTTCGACTACGCGACGCGACGCGACGCCTCGGTGACGCGGCCGCCCCCGCGAACCCCGCGCGCACCCAGGGCTGCCAACGCCGCGAGGCGAAACGCGCCAGGCAGACGTCCAGTATAATCAATCGCATGGGGAATGTGGCGGTCGTGGTGCAGAGAAAGCCGAGGGCGCGAAATGTGCGGTTCGACACGACTGTTCTGAAGGGAGAACGTTTAGATGAGGTATTTTGTTTTGTATAATTTCAAGTTTTAACTTGAAACTTTTAACTCGAACTCGATGCGAAGCTAGAGTATTATGTATTTATTTTCGTCTGGTTTTATTGTATTTTGTCGTAAGTTAAGTTGTACTTTTCAAACTTTCAACGTATAAGTCCTTACTCAAGATTTTTTTTCTATAAGTAAGAAATAATTTGTATACGTCTTTTAAGAAAAGTAGTTGATTCTTGTAGTGTATTTATTTTATCTTAAGATTATCTAAAGTGATAGAATGGATCGTTAATAGCTAGTTGATTAAAAATGCCTAATGCAAGATTTTTGTTTTATAATGTATATTGTAATGGGGTCTTTTGCGTTATTAACTCAAAAAATTCTATCCTTCGAAGTTCTCTATCCCAACATACTTTCTAAATTATTATTTTTTTCTCCTTATTCTTAATTCCAAAATATAATTTTAAAGTGATCTTAATTTGAATCAACGACGTTATGACATTATTGTTTTGAGAAATAGTGGATTAACGATATTCTCTAACATTGGAAACTAACACAAACGACGTTGCTGAATAGTTGCTTAATAAACTTGCTGAGTTTCATGGCCGTGTAATATAGAATGAGAAGGCGGCGACTTGTAACCTGCATTTAAGTACGATAATTTTTAAGTTAATTGATTATGCAAACGAAATCGATAATTTCAATTTAGTCATCCTGTGAGGTGATATGGTGTGTAACCTACTGACTGAAATTAGCAGCTAAATAGTCGCCAAACTTAACACTCCGGAGCTACATTGAATGACAAGTGGATAAGAGCTGTATACGAAAAACAATTTACTGGAATGTGGAGGAACCAAACTTCCCTATTTGTACATTGCCTTAAAATTTGTGCAATTTTGCCATACTAAAAGGTTTTCAATATAAGGATCATAAGTGTAATAAAATGGTCCAACACAATAAAAATTATATTTAAGATTAAATAATATGCCTATATTTATGTTCTTGAAATAATAAAGGATGCGCCTTGTTCGATCGGAAGAATCAGTGAGTTCCATGACGATAAAAGGAGATTTTCGCGAAAATGATTACTTTTCTCGATTAGTTCTCGCAACGTTAATTTATTATGCAATGCAACGTACGTAAACAAAGAATAATCATATTTAACGCTGGAATCATGATTGGTTTTCCTGAAATCATGATTGGCATCTTTGAGCCCCTTCCCCTAAAATATGTCACTTTTGCTTGCAACTTCATCAATTTTTATGGATAAAATGTTTTGCCTTACCCTTCCATTCACTACTTGTATTATACTTTGTGCTCCGTCATCAGTGCCTTCAGACGACGAGGTTGGTGTTGGCAGTCCTGCGTGCGTAAAGCGAACGCAACGCTGCCGTGCTGCGTGCAACCCCCTGTGCGTGCACCGCAGTAGCATTTCCGCTCTGTTCGCGGTTCCGCGTCGCAAGGGCGTCGCGTACTTTGCCCTCTTCGCCCTCGCCCTCCCCTCTTCTCTGCCGCCCTCGCGTGAGTCTCTGAAAGGGAGGGAGGCTTTGGCCGACTTGAGCGGGCGCTTTAAATTCCGCGTCTGAGTGTCGCCTGTGACGAGTTGTTATGAGTGTTTGCGAAAGAACTGAAGCTGGGATTCCCACCCCTTTTCTTTCATCAACCCCTTGTAAGAGAAGCGTTTGCTTCATCGACCCCTCCCCTTACATTTTCCTCTGTTCTTTTTACCACTTACATTTTCATCTGTACTTTTATACCCGTTACATTTTCCTCTTTAGATTTATATCAGCTACATTTTATCTCCTTTTACTCTTTTTTTCACCACTTGTATAAAAAAGGTTTCCTTTATCGACCCTCTTACATTTTTCTCTAAATTATAGCACACATAATAATTATTACTTTAGTAATTGTTCATAAACATCTTAAAGATGACAAAGAATGTGAACAAACGATTTGGAAAGCAAGTGGTGCGTACATTAGATTTATGTACTTTTATGCTATTATATTTTTAATTTTACTAATATAAACATGTGTTCGGAACCAAAATAACATATAATTGACAAAGTTCTATTTTCGCTAATGTGCACAATGTGATATTAGAACAAAGAGAGAGTTTATAATTTATTATTAGATGGTTCGTAGTTTTATATCAGAATACAATTAATTATCAACTTCATGAATATCTTTTTTAAAGTAAAGAGAACAAGATTTTAATCCTACCAATCAGTTGACAGCGCGTATTGTATCGATTCTCAATATCATTATTAAACCCCTTCAAAATTTTATCGATCCCTTTGGGTGCCGCTGAGCTTAAGTATCGGAATAAATGGACCACGAGTAGAATGTGCTGCATAAGTGGTCGTGATTCAATTTAACGCTTAAATATTGTTTCGGAGGTAAGTTAAACCTTATCTTTATGTTTGCGTAAACATTTCTTTAATTTTTGCGTGTGCTTAACCCAATGACATTTTTTGTTAACCTCGAAGGCTGAAAGCAGGAGCCGTTGTCTTCGAAATCAACGAGCAAGGCGCGTCCAATTGGCCATGTGGAATTGGCGATTTTCTTCACAAAGAGCTAACTTAACCTAACGTCCTTCACGCCTACAACTTTTTAAATTATCGCAATCTTACATCTCATTTCGCACAAGTTACATTTATTCTTAAGCTTTGGGTAAGTTTAAAAAAATACTCACTCGCTGATCAAGGGTAACTGAAAGGTTGTTTAAAGGGGAGGCATTTAAAGAAATAAAAAGCACCTCTTGCAAATCCAATTTATTTTTGATAATAACTATTTATGTTAAGAATTGGTTTCAAATTTTACGTAATAACTTTTCTTACTTGAAATAATTGCTTTCCGAACTTGGAGACAACTTTTAAATTATTTCAGTAAATAGTTAATATTAAATGAACTACTAACAAGTCATTTTCAAGGATACTTATAATTGTTTTAAATGATTTTTTCCAGTACATGTTCAAACCCATGGTCTCCATGGCCCCCTCCAGAACCGCCAAAGTCGCCAGTGTGGTCGCGCTTGATCTCATGGTGGCAATATCTGTATGGCATGTGCTCTATAACTCACGGCTCTCCAGAAAGGGATGTTAGACTTTGTTGCGATTTTTGTAAGAAAGGAAAGAAAAAGATTGTTGACTGCAATTTGTGTGTAATGTAAAAAATGTGGTTTATTTAAAATGTTCTTTGACCCAAGACACAGTTCTGAGGACGTTTCGACCAACGTTTCATTCTTTTCTTTTTTCAGGACATACTTGCTTGGAAGAAATAAAACAGAATGTTATCAGCTACGCTGTCGGATAGCGTGGTCGGTATCACTGAGACTTCATACTTATTTTGTGAACGTTGGCTATCTCGATACTCCCTACAATTTTTGTCATTCTGTCAACTAGAGAATAAATGAAAGAACACTACAAAATAATTTAGATATTGCTAGGATTCAAGGAGTGTGCACACCAAAACTTCTATTTAAATATATATTGTTTACACAGGTTATTCTTAGATTAAAAGTTAGTATGACGCGAATTTAACCGAAGGCATGAGAAAAGAGAACCGTTCGGGCTCTTGGGCTTTCCTTCGACATGCGTGGCCTCATCTTGAATTTCTCTTGGAAAATTGAATTTGATATTCTCGCGCACTTTTCGATAGGATTTGAATCAATTGTTTTACAACCTGTCAAAAAAGTTATCCACCGTCCTGAATAATATTTGTCATCTGACACTTGGCCTGCCCGCCCCCATGAATGACTACGTACATCACAGTATACTTATTAATACAGTAGCGCAGCTCCGTTTTAAATGCCCTATGGCAACGTATTGGTCAGCGACTGTAGCGATCCGCATGGTGATCAAGGAATACAATGCCGCCTTACAATTCGTAATACAGCATCGTTCTGCTAAGTCTAACCAAAAAGTAAATGATTTTTATATATTTTTTTAAATTTTCCATATGCCTATAACTAAAACGATACGTGATGTATAAGTTTGAAACATTTTTTAAGGAAAGAAACTAAATCTAATGAATGTTGTCCATTGAAGGTGAAGAGTGGAGTCGTGAGGAAGAACAAGTATTCATATACTGTT